GCAAAGGACTCGGATCCAGAGTATATAAAGAACTTCAAATTGATAAGAAAAAGACAAGCTACTCAATAGCAATATAGGCAAAAGACTTGAACAAACACTTCACAAAAGAGGCCAGTAACCATATGAAAACATGCTCAACTTCTTTAGGAATCATAAATACAAATGGAAACATCAGAGAAATAGCACCACGCTCCCACCAGAAAGGCTAAAATGAAAAAGACAATACCAAATGTTGGGTGGAATATAAATCGACACATCCTCTTTGGAAAACTATTCAGGGAAATCTGCAGCTACACTCTGGGTAGGCATACCCTTTGACCTAACAATTCCATCCTAGGCATATATCCAACAGAGAAGCATTCACCAAAACACATGTACATAGAAACTATCCAAACACCCATCAACAATAGAATAGGTAAGTGTGGTATAGTCACATACTGAAATACTACACTGCAATGAAAATGAAAGAACTACTACTTCATGCAACAATATAGTGAATTTCACAAACATGATGGTAGCGGAAAGTAGCCAAATACACAAAGAGTATGTATACCTATTTATATACATCTGTATAAAGTACAAAAACAGGTGGAACTAATCTGTGGTGAGGTGAAGACTGTGATGAAGTGAAGACCTTGAGCTGATATCAACTGGGAAGGGTATGAGGAACAGGACTTCTGGAGTGGGGAAATGTGCTGTTTCTTGATCATGGAACTGGTTACACGGATGTGTTCACTCAGAAATTTCACCACGCTATATGCTTATGCTTGGTATGTGTGTATGTATAAATGTCATGCCTCAATAAAAAGTTCAAAAAATATTTCTCGCGTACCTATTGCCTCGCCCCAGCCCCATACAGACAAATAAGGAGTAGGAGATGGCAGAGAACAAGTGCATACACAGCCATGAAATACATGCCTCCTGAGAGTCCAGGGAGAACAAGATAGGAGTGTCTCAGATGTGGGCAGGGCTTTTTCAAGAACCAAGCACTTCTATGTGGACTCTAAAAAAGCCAAATAAAGGAACAAACAGAACAAATTAACTCATAGATACAGAGAACTTGTTGATGGTTGCCAGATGGGAGTGGGTTGGTGGGGGTGGAAAGGGGAAGGGATTAAGATGTACAAATTGCCAGTTATAAAAACAGTCATGGGGACATAGAGTACAGCATAGGGAATATAGTGAATAATACTGTAATCACTGAGCATGGTGTCAGAGGGGCACTGGACTTAGCGGGGTGATCACTTCATAAGTTATATAAATGTCTAATCACTACGTTGTACCCCTGAAACTAATATAATATTGTACGTCTACTATAGTTGAAAAAAAAACTTTTTTAAAGAACCAAGCACTTTTTTTGTATTTTATCCTGCTCAGTGCCCTTTGCAGCTGACTGAACTGAGATCCCTAAAGCCAATGTGACTTGCCTAAGGCCACACTGCTACTAAATCCCAGAGCTAAATCTAGTTTCCTGGCTCAAGGATCTTCTCTCAGGCAACATTGCCAGCTCTATCTGAGCTGGAGCAATCCTGGGAGGCTCTCTGGAGGAGGAACAAATTACATGGGATGTTGAAGGATGGAGATGGATTCATGAAAGCAAGAAAATGCCAGGTTGGGGGGAATTCGGCTTCCTGCAGAGGAGCTGTCAGAGGTGCTCTTGGGAGACAGGCAGAAAGAACAGGCAGGGAAGTACAGCCGGCACCCCCATCCCTCACTCTCATGCCCCTTCTTTAAAGCCCTAGGAGTCTGTCCTCCCAATAGCTCTCCTTACTCCCAGATTTATTTTGCTTTCTTTCGCTAAATCAAACTTTATCAGACAGTTTTACTGTCAGCCGTTAAACCAAAATGTGTTTGTGCAACAGTAAACACCTTGTTACTGCAGGGAAGGATTACATAAACAACAGCAGAGACAGGCCTGACTCACTGTACCCATGAGCCCCCAGGAGCTGAGTGGCCCTCAGTGGGGATGGAGGAGAGCCCTTCAGGGGCATCCTGGAGCCCAAGGCTGAGGGGAACAGTCCGGGGGCTTTGCTTTCACCAGAATGGAATGACTGGCAAACGTTCCTCCAGTCGGAGGTAGGGCGTGTCCTCTAGAGATCTCAGAAGGGTACTCAGGTCCTCACCGCAGCCCTGGGGGAGGGGCAGGAAGAGGGAGAGGAAAATGCTAGGCAGGAGCGGGATGGGTCTGGATTCGAACCTTGTGAGATAGGGCAGGCTGAGAGCTCCACAGGGATGGGGGGGAAAGATGAAGCCTGGAAGGAGTAGAGAGGAGAGGGTTCGTTAGGATTGGGTTGAGGAGATGAAGAATGTGGCAGTGGGGCTGACTGTGGGCCTGAGTTGTTCACCAAGGAGTGGAGGGACTGGAGCTCCTTTTGAGGTAGATGGGAGCATGGAGGTTGAGACCAGCCTGGGATGAGTGCAGATAGAGACACCCGCTAGGCTGCCCTCTCCCTGGGCCTGCCCCAAGTCTCAGGTGGATGGCCTACCCTCAGGGCACACTTCTCCCTCCTCTCCTCCACAAGCCGGCCCTCTCCCCAGGGTTGCTTCCTAGGGCAGAGAGCTGTGTGATATCAGCCATCTAGGGGACCTTGAAAGATAGGATCGAAGGAGGCCCCAGCACTGGATGGAATGCGGGAAATAGCTGGAGACAAGATAAACAGTTTACATTTTTGTCCTCACTGGGCACTGGGCACTGGGCTAGGAGCTTCTATACCACAGACACTATTTTGAGTCTCACACCTACACTTTGGAATAGAAATGATTATTATCCCCACACACCACACTGCCGGTTCACGTTATCTTATTCCTCCTACACTACTCTACCCACAGTTATTTTATTGAACACTTATTATGGGGCAGGTACTCTGGCCATAGTTTTTTCATTTCATCCTCACATCCGGTGTACAAGGCAGGTCCTTTGATCATTCTCTTTTACAAAAGAGGAACGCAAGAGTCTGAGAGGCTGAGTCGCTTGGCTGGGGTCACACAACTCGTAAATGGCCGAGTCAGAATCAGAGCTCAGCTCTCTCTAGTGCCAGAACCTGGGCTCTTCCTGTCTGTGTCTGTGCTGAGAAGAGGGCCTGGAGGGAGAGGCAGCATAATTGGGGGGAGGGAAGTGGAAGATGTGGTGCACACACAGAAGGCCCCCACTGAAGAGAGAACAGCCATGGCTCATTCATGGCCGAAAGGAGTGGGGTGGTCCTGGGATGGCTTGGCCGTAAACTTCTTCCTCAGAGACTGGATTCACAGTGATGGCGAACCTATGACACGCGAACTCATTTTTTTGGTTGATTTTTCTTTGTTAAGTGGCATTTAAATATATAAAATAAATATCAAAAATATAAGTCTTTGTTTTACTATGGTTGCAAATATCAAAAAATTTCTATATGTGACACGGCACCAGAGTTAAGTTAGGGTTTTGCAAAATGCTGACACGCCGAGCTCAAAAGGTTCGCCATCACGGTGCTGTCCTCTCCTCTGTTTTTACTCTTTTTACTTATGCTCTCCCCTCTGTCTGAAGTGCCATGTCCCCTGCATGTCACCAGACTGACTCTTGCTCCTTTAAAAAGACTCAGCTCAGCCCCTACCCTCATTCCATCCCATCCCAGGCTAGGAGACTGCCTGAGGCATTTTAGCCCTAAATGCTCTCTTCCTCTTCCCTCCAAGGCCCAGATCCCAAGCAGCCCCTCAGCCCTGCCTTTGGCCTTCTCCCAGGTATCTATCTGCCCATCACCACTCCACCATCCCATCCCCCTACCCTCTACCACACACTGGCCCCATCAGCCAGGCCACAGGTTACTGTGGTCACTCAGAGCCTTAGATCACTAGGGCTCAGAGTAAAAATTAGAAACTATCTAAGTAAGGAACAATTCCTCAAGCACCTGCCACATGTCACACATTGTACTACTAGACACATATCCCCTGCGAGGCCTCATTTCATTTAATTCTTAATATCAACCTATGAGGTGAAGACTGAGGCTTAGAGAGCAGGCCCTGTCCAAGGACGTAGAGCAAGTGAGAAGCAGAGCTGAAATTTAAAGCCAGTTCTGCGGAGCTCCAAGC